AGGCACTATATTTAGACCGAGAAAGAAAAACCAGTAAAAAACAATGCTATCTGATGCAAGATGTTTGTACATGAAGTACATTTTGGCAGGTATTGTATATCTTGGCACAGTTTTCAAATAGCGAAGAAAAACGACTAGATTATAATGCCTTTCACACCAGGGCTTATATTATTGCAGAAATGACAGCATAATACGGAATTGGGAATTTTGCATTCAGAATTTTTGTACTTTAAAGATCATTTCTTTTGTCTATGCATCATATTCATTTGCATATTTATATTAGTATATATAGTAATATTAAACAGCAGGGTCTCTTCTCTTATTTGCTTCAGAAACGTTCTGTCATGGAAAATCATATAAAATCATATTACTTAGCTTTATTCGCAGTTTGACACAATTTTTAATGCAATGAGTTCGATTGATTTGTCTTTCTGAATTTCAAAAGTATATTAAGACTGTAAAGGCTGCATTCGATTCGTGGATTATACATAGAACGGAAACTGTAGGAGGTATTAGATAGCTTTTGAACATCAATTAGAAATAGGTCAGTATAGACCTGGAATATAATATGTACAAGAAAAACAAGAAATAGGTTTAATCAGAAGAAATATAGGTTACTTACCTTTGCTCTAGCTTGTCTCTCAGCTTCCAATTCTTCTTCGAGCTCTTCAATTCGAGCCTGCAAAAGATGGTGGGTCATTTTAAAATTTCACTTCGAAAATAAATCCAAGTTTTAAACAAATAAATCCACGATATAAATGCAGAGAAGAATAGCTTTATCCAAGAAAAATATTATCCATAGTTTGGAACTTCATAAACTTAATAATCCATTCATGCGAAATCCCCGAAATTCTTCGTAAATCCAGTTTTAATTGAAGAAACTTATTAAATTAATTCCAATGGCAAGCCTCCCTTCATTTTAAAACTTGAACCACGTCATTGATGCCGATATCTAAATACTTCCCAAATGAGTCAGCAAGAAATAAAAATTTATCTACATTTTGGCAGTGATAACAGAAATTTGAGAAATTTGGCGATATTTTTAACCGAGATATTTTTATTCTTTTGAAAGATGCATGTTTAACGCAAATGTAATAAAAACATTAAAAAACAATGCCTTTTTCGTTAAATAAGCATACTGTAACGTGGTCGAATTTGACCAATGGTTCAAGCTTTAGGAACAGAAATACCTGAAATTCCAAATCATGGATAAAAAGCAGTGAAAAGAAAAAGAAAGAAAAGCATAATTACAATTATTTCACATTCATGGCAAATAACGATATCATGCATTAGAGCAACATGATAATATACTATACTTCAAGAAGAGCCTTTAATCCTGGACATGATGTTGCCAACTCGGCTGTGTCCCGTATCACTTTTTTACTTCGAGCACTTAATTTCGATCCATATGTTGGCTCGTAGGCTTTAGAGTACAAAAGTGGATGTGTGGCGATGTTTTCAAGAACTGCTGGGCTGGTGCCCCGAAACTCTCTGGATAATGCTCCGAGATAATCTCCATATTGATAATCCGAACTCGTTCTTGCACGTGATGAAGATGAACTTGAAACTACTCTGGAAGCTGAAGACGATGTGGTGGATGATGGTTTCTTTGTCCGTGGTCTTGTCTCTGGCTCTGGTTCCTCAGGTCTTTTTATCGCTGGAGTAACTTTCGGTGGTACCGATACAGGGGCCGCAGGGGGCTGCGACTCCACTGATCGTTTAATAACGATCTGATCTTTGGTCGTATCCGCTTCCGACGACTCCATGGGTGCGGGTGTGGCTTGAACGGGAGGGGGTATATCACGTATTTCTTCCTGAGGCTGAACAGACTCCACAGCAGACTTAACAACTTGAGGTGAACTGGTATTATCGTTTGACTCCTCCTTTACATCACTGGAATCTGGCGCAGTTGTTTCCCCGTTCGTTGCCATGACATCGAAAAGTTAACTTCCTCTAAAAAAACGTTTTGTGTTATCTAATTAAACTATCTAAACTATTTGGTGAGGTGATAACTTAACTACTCCTACCTATTCCTCCAATAGAGATAAGGAAGACGATGACTGAAATAATCCAAGGCCGCAACGAATCAAAGTTTGATTAACATCAACACCCACAAAAGCCGAAAACATAAAGAGTAAAATTTATAATCCGGAGAAGTTAAAACGTAATAATGTCGTGTCTATAAGAACGAAACCATTGTGATTCACCCCCTGTTTACGTTTTGTGTGTGTCGATCATCATCATTTAGTAACGAGTGTCGAATAATAGCACATACACAACATACACGCCTCCTCCTTTAATGGCTGTTCGTTTCGGAATATGCTAATGAGCAAGAGTCACCCCCTCCCTTTGGTATTCTTCAACCTTGAGTATGATCTAGAAGGTGAATCTTTCCGGATAGGTTATTTTAAAAATAAATTTTCGAAATTGTGCCAAGAAATGTGTAGTTTTCACTATTTTAAGTCCGAGTCAGTTTGATTCCAGTGGAGAGCAGATAGTCGGCACGAAAGGAGGATGGTCTAATATATTGCTATGAGTAACATAATTTCGACAACCCCAGGTTTATCAGTAAGACTTATTGCGAAGATTCTATTTCAAGTAAACTATTTTCACGTGAAAGTTATTGTAATTAGAAACGCGTGTGAGTAAAGGTATATAGCATACATTCCTGTATTCGCTTAATATCATTAGGTCGAGATGGTTTGGGTATCTTGTTTCAGTAGCTACCGTCTAGAGTACGGTGCAAGCCACGTGTGTATGGCGCACGCTGTACCGGCGTTTTCCTTATTTAGCCGAGGCACGGCAGATCGTGTTTCACAACAGTAACCAACAGACCAGAAAGTTCAAATGCTTACATTTTCTTGTATGAGATTTTGAGAAGATTAAGAAATGACTGACAGCTGCCTTCTGCCTAATAATCTATCATAGTTTATCAAATTATTTAGAACTTCTGAAATGGGTTAGAGATTGTGACATGCGGATTTAATGATAACTTGCAGAGATAAGATATTTAATAGGCACCGTATGAGGTCCCTAAATCTTGTCTTGTTAATACAGCGTAATTAGATTATACAGCATAGGTTTGAACTCGTTAAATACGGAGAGGCTTGGTCGGGATAGGAGCTAAGAGTGCAATACGGTAATTTATGCAAGAATATTTTAACATAATAACACGGGGGCCACATGGCAATGCGGGAACTAAATATGAACATGCAATTAAAAGGTAATTATAACACTATAAATAATATATGTTTCTCATTTGACCAATACGTGGATAATAATAGCTTCCGATTTATCTAAATTTGGTAGCTGCTATTTGGGCCCTCAAGCGACCCCGGGCTAGTTACGGATCTGCTTATGTCACAGGACATTTGCTCGATTTTCTCCTTGAATTTATAAGTGTCTTCTGTGCAAAAGCGGACTGCTTTGGAGAATTGTGTCGAAGAACGGCTCCTGGGCAAATGAAACTTAACAGTTTTAATCCCAGCACCAAGCCCCCACACAAAAGAAATATCCAAAATAAGTGAAACTGTTACATTAATAAGTCAAGATAAACTTTAAATTTACTCATCACTTAGAAATGTTTTTCTTGGAAACGTTTCAATTCTTCGTCATAATAACATAGATATAAAGTTAGCCCGATCTTCTGGCCCGTTTCCAATATGCCAATGTGTAAGTACTGAAAGTTGGTCAAATTATTGTATATATTGTAGCAATATATTACATAATGTCAAACTGTGTCATCCAAATGTATTTCGTTAAGAAACCATTCGAATGAATTAAAAAAAAACGGGTTTACACGAGATTTGATCCGATTGCGTTGTAATATTTCACGATTTGTGTTGTGCATCACAACCTCTCTCGTGGTAATGTGCGGTAGAGAAAGACATGGCATATGTATGGTTGTATATTTTAGGAACACAACAATCGTTTGGCAAGTGTTGCTGAGAATTATATTGCATCGAAACAAATAAAAGGACATTTTAACGGACTAAGGGTAACAGATTTGATGCTTATTTTTATAATGATAGAATACACAGATCTATGTTTGATTCGTATAACAGGCTTGTCCTTTATGGCACGTTCTTCGGTATAATATTTGTTTTTGCACTCAAATATCACGGCATGTTAGTGAAACGATTTTTCTACCACATTTCGTTTATTTTTCGACTTTACGATTGCTTTAGATTTTTAAAAGCGTTTTCCCTATTGTCATTAAACTGACAAGTTTCTTTCTTTCACTGATGAGCTGTAACCAGTGTACGCTTACAGAACATTGCTAGTTGGGAAAGCAACTTAGAAGTGTCGAAATAAAAAAAAATGGCGGCGAAAAGTAATTGATTGGTTTTGGAAGTTAGACGGCGGTGTCTTCCCTTTAAAGAACCTGCATCATTATGGGATGCCCTATAATTTGGTTCACGGGAATCGACCCAAGAATCTGTCTTTGTGGGTCCAAGTTCTATTGTAATTTTTCAGAATTTTTACCACAATGACGAATATAATGCATTTAATGCACTCTTTATTTCGCGAAGATATTTTAAAATATCCATTACTAAAATATCACTACTTTAACAGTGAGAGGTTTTTGTTATTGTTTGTTATTAATTGAAATAGCATATAGAAACGGAAGCTTTCAGGCATACGCGTGTAGCTAAATGACTCCCAGAGTTAATATATAAGGTTGGGAAGACTACAGTGTAAATAAGTGGAAGCAAGTGGAAACATACTAGGGTGGGCGAACTGATCAATATAAGGGAAGTTACTGAGATTGAGATAGTAAGGTTTGGAGGTGGACAGGGGTTAGAGAAAACAACAAATTCTTTCACAGCAATCTTTATTTTTACAGCAGAAAAGTTCCACTTACCTCTGTACTCCTCTTCAGCTGACCAGTCCAATAGTGGTGATGACGTGAATTAGAATTTGGTTATAGCATATAATAATACAATGATATCGAAATTTGCCATGAATGTGAAAATAAGAATTCGAATGTACCCAAATACCTGAAGTTCTTTGATTTTTCTTTGAAGCTGTGCAACAAGATTTTGTTCGTCTTCCAATTTGGAGTGAAGACCACTGATCTCGACATCCTTTCGTCTGACGTTTTCTTCCAGGTCACGTTTAGCTCTTTCCAAATCTTCAACTGTTTCTTGAGTCATTTTCAAATCTTGTTCTAACTTCCTCTTTGCCTTCTCAACGTCACCCCGAACTTTCTTTTCTCGTTCAAGATTATCTTCAAGCTGAAAGCAAATGAAACAGCAATGAAAAATGTCCAATTTGAAATACCTGATGGAATATTGCTTGTCGACCCAGTGTTTCTCTCAAAGTTAATATTAATATCTGATTCGTAAACGTTTTAAGTAACATAATATATATCATCCAAAATATAAACTTTACATGAAAAAACAAACCTCGTCAAGAGTTTGTTCCAATTTGGTTTTGAGTTTGCTAAGATGATTGACTTTGTCTTCTTCAGCTTGGAGATCGGCAAGAGTTTTCTTGTGGGCTTCATCCATGTTCTTTTTATCTTTGTTAAGTTTAGCAATCTGTTCATCTTGTTGGGACATCTCATCTTGGAGTGTTTTGATTTGGTTGTCTTTGGTTTGTTTCTCTTGTTCAGCTTTAGCAAGATTTGTTTCGAGATCTTCGACGTCTTTTTTGAGGTCGTTGTTCTCTTTGTCTAATTTCTTTTTCTTTTCTTCGAGTTCAGCGGCGGCATCTTCTTCGTCGAGCAGTCTCTCTTCCATTTCCTTGATCTGGGATTCGAAATCAACCTTCTGTTTGATCAATTTCTCGATCTTCTCTTCACAGTCGGCAACGTTGTCTTGTTCAGCCTGTAGTTGGATATACATGTCATTCTTCTGTTGTAGAAGAGTGACGTTCTGTTCCTCAAGCTCTTTCTTGACCTTTTCAGTTTTCTCGAGTTCGGATTTGGTCTTTTCAAGTAATTCCTCTTTCACTTTCATCTCATCCTCGGCACGGGCAACGTTCAAAAGAGGCTTTACTTTGGTGTAAAGTTTCCACCAGAGCCAGTTTCTCATCAAAAGCCATTTTCTGATGTTTCTCTGGATAACAGACAGCCCAACTCTGAAAGGATACACAGAATTGTTAATAATACGTATTTTTGATAATGTTCAAGCGCCATATGCAGAGCACCATGTACTAGCTGTAGCTGCCGCATGAAAATGAGTTTTAGAAGAAAATTCAACCAGTCATTGGTAAATGTCCTAAGGACATTAATTATTTGGTCTACAGTTACTCAAATCATCCTTTTAATATTCTTACCTCTGATCACAGAGTTTCTTGTAGGCTTTTCTCATCAAGTAACCTCTGATATGGGCTTGGAACATAGAGATGATAGAAGTCAAACGTTCATCACGAAGATCTTCAAGATAACCAACCACACCAGCTTTAAAGAAGACTTTAGTGAGACCAAGACGATATTCGGCAGTGTCCATCTGAAGAGCTTGGAGAATGTTGGTGGCAACAACTTTACCATCAACGAATCCATCAGGAATAGCATTTGGAGCCAATATAGAGTATCTGAAATGGGAAATGATTAGTATTTAGGAACATTTCTTGAATTCCTCAAAAGAACCCCTGAATTGTAGCGATCTCTGCATCATCATTTCATTATATAGTGTATAGATATGGCAATATTTACCTCTGTTTGAATTCAGAGTAGATGATTCTGTTGGGGAATCCTTTTCGGCAAATACGGATACCTTCCAATACACCATTACATTGAAGCTGGTGAAGAACCAAATGGGCGTCAATAAGTCCTAAAAGCAAACAGTTTGAAAGTTTTAACACATAGGAATAACCACTAGTATTCAATCGTAAAAGAATCCCGGTTGCAACGAATCGTAACCAATGAAAAAAAGGGGATTGACGGAAAGAACGTGCTAAAGCACAGACTTTTCAAGGAACTTATTCAAAAAGATGTCATCAAAGAATGCGTTTGTGATTTAAAGATGCACCACCCACATTAATTGTTCTAACCTTTGATGTCCATATATTACGCACTACTTACCAGGTTGTTTCAACTCGTTGGGAATAATACAACGTACAAAATGAGGATGAGTACTGTACAAGTTCTTCATCAATTTGTTCAAAGATTCCTACAAATTGGAAACAAGAGAGGATCAGTAAATATGTTTGTTTGTTGAGGTGTTCGTTGGTGCATTGACTTTTTACTGATCATGCAAGTGCAAGATATGAAAAAGGCGGATTGATATAAGCTACGAAGTTTTCTCAATTATTATATAAGCAGAAATAAATATATTCAGATAAGCGCAAACAAGCCAAGAAAGAATGGATAAATTGAATGGCATTCGTATATTTTGTTATTCATATTCAGAAGTTATTGTCGTGTTCATGAAATGTCACAAAATCTTGTGACTGAAAACGGGAAAGAAGGAATTTACACATAAAGGGGTATTGGAAGGCACACGTTGGGTATAAAACTCTCGCAATGGAAAGGTCTAGAATGGTTTCTAAAGGATAAGGATTGATTCAACATTGAAAGGAATAATAGGTTGATTGAATTGTAGACAAATTGTAGGATGGAAGGTGGGGGATTGTCTTAAACTGAAATTATGGTGAAAATTTAATGGTTGGATAACATGTGTAAAAGATCAACAAATAGGTGAGGTGTGTTAAAACTTCAAAATCTCAGATCTTACGCTGGAAAAAGTTACGTAAAAGAATATAGGATAAGAAACTGATAGGATTAGACAAACTAGCATGCAAGGTTAAATTCATATGGGAACACGTGGAAAATTGTTGTGCTTGTTTCCACACAGGATATGGTTTGTGGTTTGTGTCAAAGACAGGGTGGTTTTCTCATGCTAAATATACCCTGTGAGTAGCTGAAATGGTCTGGAAAGCAGAACTCTTCTTCTTCTTGGCAGGTCCACCAGATGCGTCGGCCTCTTTATTAATAATAGCATAAATATAGAGTAAGCATTGCATGATATAAAGAGAATAAGCTGACCTTTACAGGTCTAACATGTTAATTAATTCTAATCAAAATCTGCCTTATACAAAAGCGTCTTCAGGCAGACTTTGATAGGAATAAATGCTCAACGACGAACACGCAAAATTAAACTTTTAAAATTCACCATCCAGATTTCACTATTGCCCGAATTATGTGAAATTGGCATTTCTAAAACTGTTAGATTCAAATTTTAGAGATAAAGTTTTGTGTTTTCGTCGCTCTTATGCAGATAATATGGAGGTTGTTCGTACCCTGTGACGATAAGATACAGTCATAAAACTGGATCCCTTTTTACGTTTTGGCGCTACAGTGCCGTCGTCTGTTGATGAAAGAAATGAATTTATTACAGCGTGCAAGTAACAATGATTCACAAAATAGTTGATCATTTTGATCGGTAAAAATCTAATTTGAACAACGTTTACTATAATATTACTGATTGTATTATGCCTTATGACATAAACGATACAAGTTAATACTTTCTGCTTCCGTGCTATCTTTTAAGGTTACCTAATTCAATTTGAATATGATTTCAAAGATTGCAAAAAACTCCAGCGGACACAGAAAGAAAAAAATATGAAAAAATATTTTACAGTAAAAATGTTTACCTGCTGGTGCGAAGAGGGTAGCTACAAGATTTTCCTTAGAGTGGATCAAAATTTCGACAACAGTTTCGTTCAAGGGATCCTTGTTCTTCTCGAGCCAACCACTAATACTGTATGGTACAGTACCAGCATAATGATGAAGTTCAAAATGAGCTTCACCCTTGACCTTCTTGCCGACTGGTTTACCAAAGTTGGGTGATTTACCCAAATGATTGGAGTACAATTTATCCATGAATGTTTTATCACTAGCTTTAGGAAACATACATTCTTCTTCTAAGATGGACAAGATACCCATAGGCTGAAATATGAGAAAGCAATAAAGTTTTCCAATGGCTGCTCTATAAGTGACAAATCATACAATCTAAAAGAGAAAACCCAAATCAAGTATTGAAATCACAATTCGATAGCTCTTTAGTTCAATTCTAAAATGCTAGGTGCTGGTGATTTTAGCGAGAACGGAAGTCAAATCAAAATTGTTAACCATTATTCTCTTATATTTTGGAAAATATTTAATCAAGTCCTTGTAGATTTCAGTATAAGTTAGACATCTGACGATAATATTCTAGACCAAATAGTTGCTTTACCTTTTCAATCAGATCGATACAGGCCTGTAAATCCATACCAAAATCAATAAATTCCCATTCAATATTTTCCCGCTTATATTCTTCTTGTTCCAGAATGAACATGTGATGGTTGAAGAATTGTTGAAGACGTTCGTTGGTGTAGTTGATACAAATCTGTTCAAAACTGTTGAACTGCAAAATTGATTTTTTTTATTAACGATGCTGCCTTACCGAATAATTTTAAAGCTTGCTCAGTGGTGTAACTAAATGAGTGGGGGCCCATGGACTTCATAAGTGACTTTGGGCCCCTCACCAGGAAATTTTTTCTAGCATGTGCTCTTCTGCATTCTGATTCTATAAGTCAATTTACTGCCTGGAAGATTTACAGATTTTCAGTCTGTAGTTAGTGGTTGGGGTCCGTGGATTTGGTTGAACCAATCCTAATGGCAGTGAACTTGCTTGACAACATATAAACTTAGTCTGATCATGGTTCGAAAGTGTACTTAGATGTAACAGTGTCAGCATTTCATATCCCATTGAGTCGTACACTACTGGGAAAAACTTTGAGGGTTTATGATGTTCTGAGGCAAAGAATACTTACATCAAAGATTTCAAAACCAGCAATATCCAGTACACCAATGAAGAATTGTCTCTTGGCCTTGGTATCTAAAGTTTTGTTGACACGAACGACAAGCCACTTGAACATACGATCGTAGAGAGATTTGGACAAAGCTTGTACGGAATACAAAACCTACTGATATAATGAAAATTTGTTTCTGGGTCCGGAAGTCGTCTGGCCTTCATATGAGCAAGCTCAAGTGTTTAAGTGTTGGAATTCATATTAACCTACCAGCATTTCCGTCAGTTTCAGCCTGTTCACCTCTCTGTTTAAATTTCATTTCACCAAAATGGACGACAGCACCAGTACATTTGAACATACTCATCTTTTCTTCTTGAGTGAAACCCAATACATCAAAGGCGACCTATAAGAAGAATGTTAGAAGATTCTGATTGGGTTTTAACTTCTGGAATTAACCTGTTTCATCTTAATCTCAATTGTAGCTCATTGCATCCAAACTGGGTGAAGTCTCCAACAGCATTAGAAAAATTAACGAAATAGGAAATCTTTATTTTTTATTCAAATTGAAGAAGACCCAGATTAATGCCGTATTCGTTACCTCTGGGAAATATGGAAAATACGACCTTGAAAGAGGTAATTAGCATTGGTACTTCAAAAGTATGCCCGGAATTTTTGTTTAACAATCAATCGAGTTTTCGGCATATGACGAAACTTCCCAATTCCAAGCGGTAACAAATATAGCATTATAATCAATCTCTCCTCTCCTTTCTCTTGTTTTCATTTTCGCATTGCAATTTGTCCGGTTTTGTCACATGTACTCCATGCTCTTGCGTTTTGCGTGCTCGAAGGCGGTGTCTTTTTTTCTAGATCACTTCTATGGCTAGTTAATAGCATATGCATAATTTTGATAAACTGCGTAGATTATAAAGTGCTGAATCTAACGTTCGCTGCTGCTTTTGCTTTCATTGTTCACCTTCTGTACTCTACAAAGCGTTTATAGCTGTTACAGTAAGTTGCTGCACGCTAATATTTGTTCCTTTTCGTTTAAATAGCTTTAGAATTAGCGAGCGACCAAAATTGGCGCCTCGGTTAAACATTGCGTAGTAACTTACGAAGGTATCTTTCATTTCCTGTGTATCATCAATACCATCAACAGTGATACAGCCTTGGTTGATGAAGTGGTAAAGGGCAGGATCCGCACTTACAAGCAACTTTTCTGAGGAATGAATAATTAGCTTTATGAATACAAATGAAAAAAGGCTAAAGGTGATCAACTTACGTCGGTATCCTTCATTTCTTGATTATCATCAATGCCATCAACAGTGATGCATCCTTGATTCACAAAGTGATACAGGGCAGGATCGGGCTTGGCCAACAACTTCTCTATCAAAGTAATCTGAGTATTTAACTTTTAAGAGATCCAAGATTATGCTTGCTCACTTACAGACACCACTCATGCTTGCTCTATATGCTAATAATCTAACATGAATCACTGATTGCATGAAAGAATTACTCCACACATTCCATGAGATTTTAAGAAAGAGATATTACCACATCACTGTTTAACAAAGCACTGCATACTGTACACAAGCATGACTTACAATACTTGTAATCACACAGTTCATGACACCAATTAAAAGAGATATCATCAAGGACACAATTAATCAAAGCAGTAAGCTTCAACCCAACATTATCTTAAAAGGAAACCACCTCTTAGAATGGACAGAAAATTTTAAGTCTCAAACTTGGTCAACAAGTGTATATATTCATCAGTTGGACTTACCAGATGCCATGACTAAAGAATAGAATCTATATAAGATAATATATCCATTAAACTAAATAACTACTACTCTTCTAAGCATGCTTCAATAGTACTTAGTTAAATGAATTATTACTTATGTTTATTGGATTAAGAGGGATTCTGTTGTATATTTACATCACCAGGTAAGTCCACTGATGAACAATGACACATTTTAACCAAGTTTTTGGTCATCCTAAGAGACAGTATACCTTTAAAACATGCATAAACACACAGTTTAGTCAATTAGTAAATTGAACAATAATTGACAAGTAGGAATAAAGTGGCTGTGTTGACAGACTGATATATTTATGATGTTTATATCATTGTCTTAAAAAGGATTTTCACATGACGCTATTGGTAAACATCACAAAAACCCCGGCCCGTAGGGACGGGGTTAGGTGGAGGTGGAAGAGGGGATAAGGAAAATGCCTCCCGAAAAAAATATTGACATCCGACCAATTCCATTACTGCAACTAAACACCATACACCAAGTCTGGCTTTGGGCTTGTAAAAACCGGATTTCTTTTGACAAAAGCTCTACGCAGTGTAACGCTATTGACTTTAAGAAAAATCCAAAGAGGTGAAAGACCATCTCGCAGTTCTTTTTTGTATTATCCAACACAGCCATTTTTAAGAAAGCTTAAATAGCTTTTAGAAATAGGCATACAATATGCTTCCAACAGTTAAGATAAGACATTAGAATCAAAATGAGGCATGCAATTTCAGTCTACTAGCAATCAATAATAAATTGATTGTTTGTTTAAATGAAATTGTGCTCCATTCTAAATCAGAATTAGTTCAAATTGAAACAAACATGCATTAAGTTAAGATTGAAACAAACATGCATTTAGTGACAGTGGCGTTTTTATGTTTCTCAGAAAAAGAGGCTTGTCCGGCTTGTCCCCCGCCACTTTCATTTAACATAGGTAAAGAATTGCCCGGAAGTCCCCGTGACTATTATGTGGCCAATTCTTGACTCCCTCTCTCAGTGGTTCATAGAAACGCCACTATTTAGTAATAAATTTAACTTGAACATAACTATGAAAAATTAAAATAATTAAAAGAATTATTAAAAAGGGAATACCCGGCTTAAAATAGGATTATTGGTTTTAGGTTACCAATATCATAATGTGCGAATCACAAATACTTTAAGTTGTAAAGCTGTCAGAAATATGCAATTTGGCTGGAATTGTTTTGGATTTGGTTGTGATATTGGCATCACACGTCTGGTCATGTTTGATGGAAAACTGGAATTGTGTACGTAAATGCTACTACTGCTGCGAATAATCATACAAAGGCTTAGAATTCTCTTTGGAATCCTTTTAAAGAGGACCTTTGGTCATCCTTTGGTCAGACTTATACCAGTCATGCGTTCAGTTGGCAAACCTTAACGGATAACTGAGCGCAGAACTACTTTAAGTCAGCTGGTCTGTTTTAAGCCGGATGTTCCCCCTTCAAGGAAAAATTGTGGTAAAATAATTATTTTTAAAATTAATAATTATTATTTAAAAAATTATTTTTTGTCATGCTAAACTTGTATTAAGGTTAGAATAAGGCGTGAACTGATGCAAAAAGGGGGCTGTCTCTAGTGTCATAAATTGTTCGTTCTCCTTCCTTATTATTTTCTGAGGCGTTTCATTGTACGTACCCACGATTTCGGGGATGGCGTTCGACAACAACTGGTAGAAAATGTGGTAGTTTCTCTCAGCTGGCTGTTGGAAGGTTACTCGAGATTTCTCCAACAAATCTGGAATATTATAAAAAAAAATCAAAAATTATACACAACAACCAAACATGGCTTTTTTTTTGTTATTCTCAGGTGGAAAGTCGACATTAGTGACAAGGGGAACAACTCTGTTATGATTTTGTATTGATTTTGATTGTGATTCTTTACAATTTGCCTTTGACTTACAAGTTGATTGCAACAACGGACCTGGCAAAATAATGCTCCAATCGAATCAAACATGCATTGTTGGGAACAACCACCGTTATTTATTTTTTGGGTTAATATCAAGCTTCTCAGATGAAAAGTCGGCTATAGTGACAAGGGGAACAACTCTGATATGATTTTGTATTCGTACTCCAGGGTATTAAAAGAATACAACGATATTGTTTAAAGAAGTTCGAAAGAGCAAATTGTAGAAAAGGTTACTTACATTGTTCAATATCAGCTCCAGAGATTTTACCTTGGGTACCAAAATGGATACGGATAAATTTACCCTAAAGAAGAAGTAATTATAATGTTTTATAAAATGCCACCTAGAGAGTTAACATAGAATTACTAACCTTAAATTTTGAACAGACTGCGAAACATTGCTCAAAGACACATTCTTTTGCGATTATATGAAAATTCTATTGCAGTTAAAACCATTTATATTCTGGCAGATTATGTTACTTTCATGTTTGCAATGGATTGTTATGCTTTTTATACTTTCACAAGTGTAGCCTGACGAAAATTTATGTCACAGAAAATAATTGGAAAACACTGTGCTGAAGGGACAGTATCACAATGCAACACATATTGAATTTCTTAAGATCCACTGAAATGTGGTTTTTCTCTGAAAACAACCAGCCATAAGCATTAGCCACTATTGCTTGCAGTGCTAATTGTCTTTGAGGAACAGTAGCTTTATAATATAAAAATAACTTTTTCTGGATTGATTAAAGCGAGATTCGCTACAGCAATTTTAATTTCAAAATCTCTACCAGGAAAATATGATCTTTTTAAATAGTTTTCAAGATGTTTCTTTGATAATTCCTTTTGAAACATGGCTATGGCGTACTATCTGTCTAAATGACCGCCTTGGCGATTAATGGGATTTGAATTGAGTAAAGACTCTGGTGACGAATCTCGCTTTAATCACATGCATATACTAGAACTACTAGATAAGATAGGTAAGGGTGTTATGTAGATTGTAGAGACGCACGCGTACACGAAAGCGCACTTTTAAGCAGTAGGCTGAGCGTAGATATCCAGATCGTTCATACCAGCGGTTTCTATACGCCCATATCCTCCCCATTTACGCCCTATAACATACGCCCTAAGCCAGTCTATATTGCTATATATATCAGTCATTTTCCTGCTGTTCTGTCAGGGTAGCGGTACACCGTCCACAAAATCAAAGATGTTCAGCCGTTTTTGGTCAGTGGCAAACCTCACAAGAGTGGTCAGTTTCTGAATCGTCTGCATGCAGTTGTTTACAATATCACATTTCAAAACATTTATCAAAACAAATAGATATATATATAATATATATTCACAGTTCAGAATGGTATGCATTCAACATAAGCGAAAACGGATTATATTTGCATTCCATGAATACAGTTGTTATATAGATTCTTCGGTTATGACATTCTGTCATCGACTCCAATTTTATAGAGAGTTATACTTATTGCACCAGTTTCGTATATTGCATTCCATACTTACGAATCTTGAAGAGTTGTTATTACGGATTGTCTTGGCGTTACCGTAAGCTTCCATGACCGGATTACACTGAATAATTTGATCTTCCAATGTTCCCTGGATTTTCGGGTTGCATTCAAAGGAAATGGGGGAAAAGGAAAGAAACAAAAATGATTAAGGCGTGGCAAAAAACAAACATGATCTGGGGGTAAGGTACGACACACTGGGTTTTATCTTAAGGAAACTGGTGGATTGACATGGTCACTCTTGGATAGATTTTAGGATAAGGAGACTGGAAATGGTTGGATAGGTAATGGGGTGAATTCTGTGTGGTAAGGTGAAGGGGTTGAGAGTTTGCATCTCGATGTGAAATAGATGGTATTTGTTACACATAATGTATGTGATGTTTTGGAATTCTCTACTTCCAATTAAGGGTCATTAGATGTACATGTAACTTTTGATCCCGATGCACCCGTAGACTTCCAAGGAGAGCGATCAGGATTGGGTAGATGTATTTGTATCTGATGGTTAGGTTGAGGGTCTGACAGTGATATTAGATAGCCGAAAAGTAGGTGTTTGATGTTCTTAACAGGGTGATTGGGGCAGAGGTGGGGTTGTGACGGTGAGGTCTTGCGGTTTGACTAAGGTGTTGGTGTAAGGGAATAACAATAAAATTGTCCTATCTATAAATTAAGGTCTGGAGGCGATACAGATAGGAGAGGAGGTTATCATTCAGAAACATTGGCAGCCGTATATATAATCTAGTAGTTGTTTCACAACAATTTTAGTCTTCACATTTCATACGATCACGCAACGCCATGTCCCACATCGATGTATTACTTACAAATCTAGAAGAGTTGTTATTACGGATAGTCTTAGCGTTACCGTACGCTTCCATGACAGGGTTACACTGGACGATTTGATCTTCAAGAGAACCCTTTAAGAGTTGATGGTCGCGTTGTATAAAAGGGAGGGAAGAAGAAATAAAGAAGGTTAATAAGGTAAAGTTCCGAGATGGGAGTCTTTGGGGTTCGGAGTATACTGGGTGAAAGAAGAGGGGTTGGCTGAAAGAAAAGAGTTAAAATAGTGGTGCCTGAAGAGGGTTTCTGAAAAAAAAGGGTGTTCGGGGAATGTTGAACTCGTGCACGTTTGGGGGTTCCATTACTTACGAATCTGGAAGAGTTGTTGTTACGGGTTGTCTTGGCGTTACCGTAGGCTTCCATGACGGGGTTGGCTTGTACAATTTGATCTTCTAAGGATCCCTGTATGAGGTTAAGTTGTGGTAGGGTGTTTGGGTGGAGGGTGCGGGGTACGACAATTGTTTGCGAACCGGGGTTTTCAGTATAAGGAATTTCCATATGGAAAGGTTTGGAAAGGGGGGAAAAGAATAAAGAATGTGACCATATTAGCATAGTTCTTAAAACGAAACATTTGAAAAACCCAATTGTCTTTAAATATATAAGTATAAGTATACAAGTTCATGCCACAAATAGCATCAGATGAAAACAGCGCGAGTATAAAAGCATTTAGTTACAAATTATTTTATTTTTGTGCCGAAGTATCATGATGTTTGTAACGAAGTACACTGATGAAGTAAAATGATGTATGTAACGAAGCAAAATGATGTATTATCGGTCCAGAGTCAGAGTGTCTAGTCCTGTATCACCTGATATCACTACCCCATCACCTCCTGATGATGAAGCTACGGTATTCGGTCTGATGATCATTTTGTGGCATAAACCAGTATATCATAAAGCAATAAAATATTTCAATTTAGATAAAATGAATTAATATAATAAAAATTATATTTGATAAAATATCTGAAAAAGAAAGTAATTAAACGGAAACTCGGGAAATCTATCTAATAGGGAATCTGGATAGGGAACTACATGCAGTGGACAGTGGACCTAAATATCACTCTTGATCTAGATGGGTGAAATATAGAATTGAAAATGAAACTAAAATGGTGTAAAAATTAGGATAATGCAGAAGATAAAAAAAAAATATTTTAATAATAGGAAAGAAGAATAACAAAAAAGGAAAGATAAATAATAATAATAATAATAATAATAATTATAAACAAAAAAAGATGAAAAAATTATATAATAAATAATTGGAAAAAAATGAATATGCTAATTGAAGAAAAATATTTGAAAGTTAAAAGAAGAATAATAGAATGGGCAAAGTGAAATATAAACACGGGAAACTGGGATATTGTTGAATTCTAAACATATTAAAGGTACAGATGCGCCATTCTTTTTGACCAATCATACTTTAGTTTCAGAAACGGGAATTTTTTAGCTAAGCCAATCAGTAATAGTCTCCACAGCTCACCGTCGAAATTTGAGCCTTTGAATCCATGTGTGTCCAGAATTATCCGCGATTGAATGTTACAATGACGACTCGTCAATTTAAGATACTCTGTGATACATAGAAAAGACATATACAGAAATATTGAGTAAAATTCCTTGTTTGGAGTATTTTTAAAGGAATTATGCGTTTTGCGTACATTTCTAGTACTTCTGAAGACTATTTATATATATTCAAGACTAAAATCAACTCCCAAAAATGCAGCATCTGTTCCTTTAACTAATAGTGTATGAAAACTCTAGATCTTGATGGTTAGATATGTATTATTTTGTCTATAGATTAAAATATATTTGAGGAAAATCGTACCAAATTTTATACGGTAACATTTTAATTTATTGCCACTCAAAGGATCCAATTTGTAATGTGTACAAAGTAACCATGAAGATCTAGTATAAGTCGTTTTTATCAACCATCAACTGGTGCATCACCTTTGATGGAGATGACATACGAAATACCAGTTGGTGAAAGATAAAAACGCTGTGAATGAGGTGATATGTGAACAAGGTGGAGATTCTAATTTAAGGTAAGGGGAAGTAACACACCGTGCCGTCACATTAAGGGGACACTCAGGGTAGGTGCGTATCTCTACCTTTTTCTCCTTCTTCTTCTCTTCTTCTTCCTCGGCCTTATCTTTATGTGCACTAGCGGCGACATGGGCAAAGTATTGGATTACCTTTTTGGTGTTTTCAGTCTTTCCGGCTCCAGATTCACCACTGTTTATAGAAATGTGCAATTACAGAATGGGGCACGGATGTGACTTTTCAATTGCCTTGGACATATAACATTTGTAAGCATATTCAAGAAACGTCATCATTACATTTTAGGAGCTTGGTTGTATGAAGCGGACAGTTTAAAACGATTGCTGTCATGTATTTTTGAATAGCAAGTTCAGACAAAATTTCGCAACTTTACTGAAGATGTCCGTTTCAGCAAAGTTTCCAATCCCCATACAATGCCAAAATGACGAATGTTGAAAATGCCTATATAAAAGCCTTAAAGTAGAATTGCTGGTTGACACTTACAGCCACAGATTTCTTTCGGTCTTTTTCCTTTAGTAGAGCAGTATTCGCTGCTACATTAGCGAAATACATGATAACTTTCTTGGTGTTTTCAGTTTTACCGGCACCACTTTCGCCTCTGTTTTATTCGTTTTAAAATTTAAAAATATAGGTTTAGAAATTCAAAGATTTCGTTCATGCATTAAGCAAAAGAAGCGTTATCAAATCATGCTTGATTTGCTGCTATGTTTATATTCAGACAATCTCATACGAATACCCCAGATCCGAGTCGTGCACGTATACATGTGTGCTCATATGACATCCTTATGGACACAAAGATCCAAAATCTGATGAACGTGTTGATAAACAATTTGAAAAATCGTCAACCCTATATGCATTATCGGACGAAAGGCAGTACGGGTTTTAGATTTTATGGAATCGGTAATTGAGGGGAAATAACTCCTTTCAAGATGTGGGAATCCCATTCAAGCTCCCAGAACTTTCACTCTTGCTCTTGGTAGTAGCCGTCAGTTTCTCTATTAGTTTGAGTTTGCCTATAGTTTTCATGATGTGTTTCTTGGTGATGATGATATGGCAATCCGGTATAGTCCAGACTACCAGTCAGTGGCGGCGCAGATAGGGGTTCAGGTAGGCACCACCAATTGTACCCTGACTTTATTTTTAACATATGTTTTTACATTTTTGTCCCAAAATATGTGTCAGAAAGCACCAAATCAATTCAATCTTTCAAATTGTCTTTGGAGAACCATCTGAGGCGCTCCTTTAGTAGAGGCCTGCAACAAGACGCCTCCACATAGTTATCGCATTCTAAAATCAGCCTAGATATTTGTCCCCATTGAGTAAGCCTGTCCCCTATTTGTACCACCCCCCCCCCCCTCCCCTCCACCATAGGGATACTGGCACCGCCACTGCTACCAGTATGAGGCTATCAAGATTTTTCTTCTTTTTTTCAATTGTTCAATAAAAAGAAAACAGACACTTACGTAATCAACATAGATTGGTTCTCACGATCTGAAATTATACAAAGAAAATAAATGTTTATTCTTAGACACAAGATTCCTTGGCGTAAACATTTAAGCTATTTGAAATAGAATAGATGAATGTGTAACATTTATTATTATCATCGTCTATGTCAACAACGTCAATACCATCATCAACATCATCATCATCATTACCCTAATAATCCTCGTCATCATTAGAAAAAAGTATGATGACATTTTATCGTGTTCGCTTAGTTTTAGTCATGAGTATTTTGGCCCTACCATTATTATTATGAATCGTTCTGTAAAACTACTTTTAACACCTAGTTTTATCGTCCGTTTTAAGACAACGTTAAAACCTAGAATGACACGTTAATAGACAACGCTCAAAATAATGGACAACGCTGAAAACCTAGAATGACTCGTTACAGGACGACGCTAAAACCTAGAATATAGCGTTTGTTAAAAATATATATATTTCAGTCTCGTGAGACTTTTCGAGACTTAACAACATGACGTCATCATTAAACCGATTCTGTGTTGTAGGTCTAATGTAAAGATACAAATGTATTAATTAAAGTGACAAAAAAATAGTCACGCATGAGAAGTTCAAAAGGTGAAATGTTTTATTGACTGCGATTGCAGACAAAATAATTATGTAAGAGGTTTGGCGTGAAAATTTGACTGTGACTTTTGTTACAAGTGTTATATCATGAAACATATGAATTTTTACGTATATCTTATGCATTACTGGTATTTTTACGGGCAACTTTTAAGTTATAACCCAAAATATCTGTATCATCTACATAACATTAGTAAAGTAAACATTTCTACTTAGCATCGACTTTTGGCACTGATGCCCTTCCATAATATAACACTTCCAAACGCCATCTTCTTTTTGAATATCAATATATCAAATTTTAACATTCTTTTTCCCTTCATAAACCTCGCCAGGAGGCCAGTTTATTTATTTAATCCTTGCCTGCATGTGAAATGGAATTTGGCTTGGTGCCAAAGTATGTTACAGAAAATAATTGATTTTAAGTTTTTGAAATAGTACAGAGAATGAGTTTTCAATTCTTTAAATTGTATTTTAAAAATGGGTATCATTTGTATAATTAGTTGCTTAATCTGTCTTGCAGTTGCAGCTAATTCTGTACCGTTATTTCGTTTTACATTTTTCTGTTATGACTCAATCATCATGCGTTTATTTTTAAAATTATTGTCTGTCTCTAAAATAGCATTCCAAAAATATCAGTGTTATTTTTTAATTTTACTAGTGCATAATGACATTCGGAGTACTTAAAGTAGCAAAAGATTTAAAAAGTAGGTTATAAAATGTTTTCTTGTTTTGTACGAGGTTAATAGATTGATTCCACTGAAATTAATCATTTTAGACGTCACTGTCACAAATGCTTTTAATAATATCGAAGAGTCTTTGCGATGGTGACGTCATAAAAGGCTAAGTTTTGCTGGAGATGCAAGTACTAAAGACATCTGTCGGACTCAGATTGGAATGATGCTAATCGATGCTAAAACATTGTTCCTAATACAATGTACACATTAAAAGTTTAGAAAATATCCACGATCGCTTAAACCGTATTCTTATTTTTTTTACTTGCAGGAATTCAGAATGAAACTATAAGAAAAGAAAAGAAATTGGTATCTATTGGAAATGATTTACCATCAAACGCCAACATCAAGGTGTTCAAGATAAAAAATTGCCGACTAAAGTTTATGATAATACCAAACGTTTATCAGATGAGTCAAATAACCTTTGACATTTGTAGTTAAAGAAGTTTGAAACGAATGGTACTCTTCATTTTACAGTTTATATTATAAAAAGGTAGGTATGTTATGTACCAGAAGTGGTCGACATTTTCTTTATTCTTCCCTCCTTGGCAGCCATATTTGGCAGACATACACGAGACGCCTGCTAGGCAATCTGACATACGAGCCTTATCGGCACGTGGTTAAAGTACACGTGAAAATAAAATTGTAAACACTCGTAAACTTCCAGACCATTTGGCGATATCAAATTAATCTTCAATTGATAAGGGTTTCTCGTATCAGAGGCCAATCGGTTCATCTGTCACAATGTCTCAAATCTGATTTAGAATATATAACTAGCAAGGTCACCTATTGCATTCCATTTGCTAAAAGTTCGCTTCAGAGGCGTATCTAAACCAGAAGCCAGAAGTCAACGGATTTCAAAGAATTTTGATTCTTTAGAGGACTTAATGGCCCACCCACTAAATACGCTACTGGTTCGCTTACATAATGGACCTTTGTTCAGAAGTCTGCGCTTGCAAGATATAATTTCGATAAGAACAATGGAACGTTTATGCGTGTATAACAACTGCAATAAAAGTGGTGAGACCAGATCCCCATTTCTCGAAAATTCTTACGAATATTCTTTGTTGTAAGTGTGGAATTTTGCATCGACAATTGTTGTAATTTATTTTACGGTGTTCAGCACTTAACTTAAAATAGCTTCCTGTGAAGAGCTTTACTCTTTCCCTCCAACTGCTGTGCTTGTGCTACAGAGCTATTTAAAACGGTCTACCGTGAAAGTTACGCTAGCGCTCAGCAACGAAAAGTTTTACGAAAATTGCCCAGGATTGCCGAATGAGCTAATTATACACTCTCAAGCAGATTGTTTAGAATCTAAAGAGTGTCTATGATGTTGGCTGTATGTGGTCTGATTGGATTAAACAGGTATGATCTATTAGTTTATCAGTGGTCAGTTGATATTACTAACAAGGTGGAGTATTTAATTAGTACACCTGTTTTAATGATGATAATTCGAGTCGAAAGGCAACTGGTACTCGAGGGAACATTAAGAGGCAGATAAGGGTGTCTTTTGGAGCATTATAATCACAGAAGCGTGGATTGTTTTATTCAGCTAAAACTTTACCTTAGTCTAGATTATCTTTTCCATAATAAAGAAGCAAATCTTGGCTAATGGTCATTAAGGTTTATAACCGAATCATAAACTTTTGTCCAGTTGAAATTTAAAAAGCCCTCTCACCTTGCAACATGTATTGGTAGGCGTTGTCAGCGATGGAGAACAAATGGGGAGGCATTTCAATTCGTCGTTTACCTCGGTACTTCATGATAAGACTCATCGTGTAAATTGGAAGACGTCGGTAAGGATTGATGGCCACACAGAAAAGACCGGAATAGGTCTGAAAATAAAAAAAAATAGACATGATTATCCATGCCCTGTCCTTGTGCAATCTATACACAATTGGACATGTGTATATAGAATAGAAGTGTTCTAGGAAACGTGCTCCGAAACTTCATTTAAAATCGTATGAATAGTGCGGGCACTGCCATAGATCTAATGCTTAAAAGGTCTTACATGTCTTACATTATAGACACAATCATGTATAGTCAGTCTAGAATTGCATTTTTGCTGAAAACTCCTATCTTCTGCTACGTGTCAGCCTCTTATTTTTTTCAATATAATAATACATATCTCTCCTAGGTGCATGTTTGAAAATATCCTTTCATGATGGACTATCTTTTACAAAACGGAAGCTTAGTGCGCAACACACATAAACAGGTGAATCTCTTTTCGAAACGCCAATTAATTGATAAAAATCAAAATGAACAATTTCGTGAAATTTCAAAATTGGATTATAAGAGGAGATTATGGGACAGAATACAGCCACACAAACCGAAAGTAGTCATTTGCTCTAAAATATTTTTTGCCTATATCGAGATTGGTAATAAATTCCAATTGCACTATCTTAAAAGTTAACTGTTGCTCCGACATTAGATTTTGGACCGTTGCCGAACCGTGGCATGGCAATTTTTATTCCTCTTATACATTACTTGGCAATGATATTGGTTTCCCGAAATATCAAAATGTTATATTTATAAATAGTAATGGAAACCAGGTCTTGGAATGGAGATTAGACCTATCTTTTTTCCTCGCTATTAAGGACGAATGAAGGTTATATGCCCTAGCTGTCTAAATTCTATTTGTTCTAAATATAGAAGATCTCATGTCGAGAGCAACAGGTGTACATAGAAACCGGATGAAAATGGTGTACATTCTGCTATCATTTTGGTATTTAAAGAGATAGACCTAATGCTCTTTCTTTCAAGTTCAGAAGGCCAGATGTGTGTTTAGAAACACGCAATTGTGCCACTGTTGTTGGTATGAAATCTTTGTGACACTAATATGTATTTCCTTTGAGACCGAAAATCATTTTCCAGAGTCTTGTTCAATTGTTAAGAACTCGTCCAATGCTTTATGCTTTTATGTGAGATTTCTGACACCATGAGCGGTGCTTTTCGAGAGTATGCTCGTTGTTTCATATATTCCTCGTTCACACACAAAAATTGATGCATGACATGTGGTGATTTAAATATTGCTTTTCCCCCAAAAGCATCATCTTGTATTGTTATCCAACTTGATAAACATCATTGGAGATGGATCTCTTTAATTGATTTTTGGACTGAGATTGGGATCTGGACAGAGATGATGGCTCTTTTAATTGATTTTCGGACAGACATGACGACCTTTTTAAATGTATTTTCGGACAGACATGGCGACTTTTTTAAATGTATTTTCGGATAGAGATGATGTGTTAATTGGTGTTCCGGAAGGAGATAGCTGTTTAAAGAAAAGTGAAACTTACATAAATAAGACCGGCGACGTAACGATTCTTCAAGTTGGACAATACAGAGGCTTCATTTAAATAGGTCAAGTTAGCCATATCCTCAATCTTCTCGAACTTGGGAGGATTCATCTGCTGAATATCATCCTTCTTGAAGGTCTTGGTCTGAAATAACAAATGCAGTGAATTGGGTCTTGAGGTTGCAATTGCACAATTTGCTTATCAATATGCATGTGGATGTTTATTGTGGTCTTGTGGGGACGTGTGGTTTCATCATATTGTTCTGTACCATACTGAGTAAAACATACTGTGTAAATCATTCATCATAATTTGTTTTTGTGGCTTCCAAACTTTCAATAGGTTACCACCCTCTACATGCACACGGAACCACAATTTATCCAATCTTGATCGTAATGAATTGGCTTTTCAACAAGGGTGAGGTGATTGACAAATGAACAAATAAAATGATTTTCTTACTTCATTGGTGTCGTTGAGTTTAACAGTAATTTCCTCGCCTTTAGTACTTTGGATTTCAGCAGCAGCGAATCTGTTTTTTGGATCAGGTACCCAGCATGCCTTTTTACCGTCAAAGGTTTGTGTCTGCTCCCGCATTAACTTCTTGCGGTCGACAGCCAAGTATTCAAATTCGGGATCCTGTGGATCGAATGACATTTTGGCAGCTTTAAGTGTAAGACAATCCTGAGAAAACGAAACTTATAAAGCTGACTTCTCTAACTGGTTCCTGTCGATGCTGTCTCCACGTCAGATTGGTATGTAAAAAGTGAGCAGAACAGCCCACACCCTGAAAAATACAACATAATCAAAATTACTTATTGAGGTACAGATAATAGGGTCCCGACGCAGTGGCTCAATTACCGTACGGACTGGTTTAACCAAGTCCAGGGCCCCCCGCTGTAGGTCATGACGCAAATTGCATTTTGAAATCGCTTGGCACAGCCACAATGGCTTTTCTAGGAAACAGCAGACGAAGGAGCCGAGCATGGACAGCGAAATTTTCCATGTGGCTATTCTTTCACTATGTAAAATGATAACAAAATTTGAGAGTGGATGGCGGGGGGAGGATGCCAAGCCGGGTACGCCTTTTTTTCTTCCCTTAGTAACGCCATTGCATAGTCATAGGAAACCTTTGTACACTACGTTCCACATTAACAGAGTTATGTGTTAACCGTAAAGGAAATACAATCGCCTAGTACAGCCTAGAAGTCTGAATCTTTCATTAAATTTTAAAATGAATCATAGTCTGAAGAAAGTAAACCGGTAATATGTAGCTTAAAACAATTTCGTTCTCAAACAGCTGATGAAAATAAAATCTTCTTTATATTCCTTTATTTGACCTACCATAAAAATGATGTGAGTCAGACCACACCAGGCAAGGTCATATATGATAATATTGCTTTGGAATTTATCTGGAAAAGTTCAGACGCCAAAGTTGTGGTCTATGAAATGATAATCCTGTACGCATTCGCTTAAAACAGCTCTATACATGCTTGAAAACTTATGATAATTGCTGTTAGCAAAAAAAAAACAGATATTAAACACTAAGACCAAAGATGTTCACATAAAAGACTTTTTTCGGAAGTATTTTAAGTGAATTTCCTTATGCTTGATAATTGTAGAATCGACGTCTACATGAATCTAAAATAAAGCCCATGATATATTACACTTTAATGAATTTAGATACGATGCCTATTTTAATAATAATAAACTCTTTATTTTATCTCAGAATAAGGTCCAATCCACCAAGGTCTTCTGCCCTTATGGCGTGGACCCTTAAGTGTTTTATATAGCCCTGCCTTTGAGATTAAAGTGGTATATATCTGGCTAGAAAATGGTACTAATATAGTTCAGGATACTTTAAAGTATCGTGTCGATAAAAATTTGGTCTGCTCTAAATGGGAAATTTACTGTTTTAAAGTCTTAAACTTTATCATCACTTGATAAGATCTGGCATTTTCACGATAAAACACGTTGAAAATAAAATCACCTCTCGTGTATTACACGTCTATATGAGTCATGAAATATTTTATTTTAGTTGAACTTCATTAAAGTTTAAAATCTTTTCTGAAAAACCTGTGTACGTGACCAAAAGTATTATCTATACGACTGTCTGACCAAATCATGAAGAAATGCAAGTTAAGTTCCAAAATGCTTTGTGTTCTAAAATATCTATGGACGTGACATAGACGTCAATGTCTGACCAAAGCAGGACCTAAATGTTTTTTGCTTAAACCTTAGTAGAAATGCAAGCTATTTGTATTCAATTCAGATGATGGTTGATATAAAATTCTAAGGACTTTGGTTGCTTGATGCCAATGTAGTAAAAAAGAACTCTTTGCTAATTTTAAAGTGAGCTAGGAATTTATGAACTTCCTTACCAGCTTCGGGCTCATTGCTGATCTGGTTTTGTTTCAAAAGGTTTTATATCTAAACGTAGTTTAACAGCGGATGTTGTCATATATCTTTTCAGATCATATTGTTTTATACTAATATTCCTATGAAGGTCACCTTAAAAGACACCTGCCATTATTAAGTCAAAAGAAATAGAGTCCTTGATAGAAATGGTTAATTGACATTGATCGGTATCAAATCAAAATCTAACATTCATTACCATACACTGATAAAAAGATATGGTCTAAGGAGTCACCTTGAAACATACCTATCCAAACTATTTTGTGAAGTTACTGTAATCCTACTAAATATTTTGACGAAAATCGAAGACTACATAAAAATCTTGGTTGCATCTTATATTGTTAATACCTAAACGGATTGAACTCAATTTTCAAAACAAGAAAAAGTCTTACCTGTAACCTTCAGAAAACCCAAATGTTCATAGAATTTTAGCATGCAATGTGATCACCCCACCCACCTGAATGTTTCAACCAACCAGGAGCAAGCTAGGATCGACGATATCCAATGGAATATGACGAGATAAAATGATTTATATCTGATATCAAATAATTCTACCGGTATCCAATTTCTAAACAGGGGTGAAATCTGACAGCTTCAGAAAATTATAAAATAATTTTATTTTACACTTGTAATATTGCAAAGAAAACTCTTCAAATGCGTGTAGTGTGAAGCTTTTCCGGAAGATCTCTCGATTGTGCAATAATCCAATATTAAAGCTCATATATGTAGATAATCCATATATCCAATGATTCACTAGCGATAATCCTTTAATCTGTGGATGATCGGGGCTGAAAATTGAATTTAAATCAACGAACACGGATTAACAAAATACACTTGCGTAATTCAAATTGACCAAACTAAAAAAGGGAGTGGGTTCTAAACTGATGGACATAAAAACGTACATCAAATTAAAAGTAAACTGTAGGTTGAAAAATCGCCTGATGTATGTTTAACATCAGATTTCAAACTACAAGAAAAGGGATAGCTAGCTACTATATTTCTAGTTTTTCTAAATCTAAATCACACTCAGTGTACTTACGTTGAAAAAAAGCCGTTCTGTGCAGATAGAGAATCACCTTCCAATTTATATACCGGTAAACGTCATCAGATTTTTTCCCCAAGTTATATAACGCAAATTCTAACTGGTCAACAGATAAAGTCCAACCAATGGGAAGAAGTGTTACATATTGAATTGATAGTCGTCTGTAAATGGTATGCTACAATGGTGTATGAGACAACCTGTCGATATCTAGATAGCAGTAAAAAGTCAAACGGGTCTGGCCATTGAACAGTATCGGTTTGGTTGATTTATCGTAGTCGCTTATTTATTTTATCACTTAATACAGCAAACAATAACAGAGATTTCAACTCGACTGTTACTAATAAACAAACAAGCATCATTACTTGTTAATCAACCGTGGTAGATCGCACTTGATTATCATAACAGATAATTATAACTGTCAATTGTACATATCTTAATTATGATTACTTACAGGGGGATGGATTGACACCTGATCATCGAAACGCGCAATGCCGGTGTGTGTGTGTGTGTGCTTTTAGGAAATTTTCCAGATTGCTGACGAGCAGCTCACAGACTATAAGGTTTTCCAAAAGACGAAAAACATTACACAACACGGCCTATCAAATACAGTACTAATTGTGTATGACCTAACGCTTTTTCTAGTGCACTGATAGGTTGCTATCTCTAAACTTGGTCGCAATTTAATTGAAGCAGGGCCATATTTTCCTATTAAAAGCCCCTTGAAGCATTGCAGATTCTCGGTGGACTATCAGAAGATAGTCCTAGTTCTTTGAATCAGGAGCGTATCTAGAAAATGTCTAAGACATGTCTCTCCTAGGAGAGCCACAATTTCAGTTATTTTAACATGACTTCACTGACTTGTGTTCGAGGAGATCACTTTGCCCAACTGCCAATCCCCTAAATACGCCATTGGGTCCAGTTATTTCAGTTATTTCAACATGACTTCACTGACTTGTGTTATACCATTTATATCTGTTATTCCACTTACTTATTTTACTTATGTTATCCCACTTGCTGTTATCATTCTATTTACTTCATGTTGTTTCTAACTTTGATAAGTAATGGTACTTAAGTAAGCTTCATTGCATAATAAAACACATTTCTGTTAGTTGTTCTCTTTACTTCCAGGTTTTATTGACATCAACAATTAACCTTTGAATGATGATTTATTAGATACCTGATAATTATCTATAATCAGGAACTGAAAGACTTTCATGATTTATTGGCACCGACAAGAAGATTGTGCGAAATGCTATTATATCCCTATTTGACAAGTGAAATGGTAATTAATAAAGTTTTCGCTTTAATGAAAAGTGAGCTAATTGGTTTGTGAAAGGGTTATGGGTACCTTCAGGATTTATTGGCACCGTAGATTGATTGTGGTACAAATAATGCAATCATGGTGCCTAGTAATAAGTGATATATGAACAACATAGTGCATAATAGTTCTAAAGTGAGCTAATTAATCTGTGATATATATAAGGCAATATTGGAACTTTCAGGATTAATTGGCACCATAATTGATTGTGATGCAAATAATGCAATCATTATTTCTAAGAGTAAGGGGTATGTGAACGAGGTGAGCTAATTGAGTTGTGAAATATGTAAGGTGATATAGGAACTTTCAGGATGAATTGGTACCGTAAATTGGTTGTGAGCAACTGGGTGCATGATAATTTTGAAGTGAGTTAAATGGATCAGTGAATTATTTAGGGCGATATAAGAACTTTCGGGATTAATTGGCACCGTATTAGTGGTGAAAAACATGGTGCATATTGATTCTATAGTGAGCTAAATGATCTGTGAAATATATAGAGGATATTGGAACTTTCAGGATTAATTGGCATCGTAAAGTGTTATGTGCATATTGATTCTATAGTGAGCTAATTGATCTGTGAAATATATAGAGGATATTGGAACTTTCGGGGTTAATTGACACTGTAAATAGATTATGATGCAAGTAATGCAATCATAATATCTTTCAATTACTGGTATGTGAATAAAATAATGTTTAATTGAGCTAATTAATCTTTTTAGAGCCTAATATTGAGGATTAATTGGCACCACAGAAAGATGTGAAGAATATTATTTTGTATCTTTGTGAACATTATGATGTACAATAATTCTTATCAAAGTGAGCTAATTAGTTTGTGAAGCCAAAAGTTTTGTTCATAATAGAGAGGTGAACATCATGAAGGAAAATATTTATAATTAAGGAGAGCTAATTGATTATTGGAACTTTCAGGATTATTTGACATTATCATAGTAGTTGGAGTAGTTAATATCATCCTAATTATAATTAAATAAAGCTAATTAGTTTTAGTGGAACAATTAACCATTAATTGGTATCATCATAGAGGCTAAATATTTTGTTCCTACTGGAATAGCTAACAGCATCCTAAGTATAATTACACAGAGCTAATTGGTTTTAATGGAACAATTAACCATTAATCGGCACTATCATAGAGGCTATAAATGTTTTGTTCCTACTGGAGTAGTTAACATCATCCTAATTCTAATTAAAGAGAGCTAATTGGTTTTTCAGGAATAATTATCCTATTTTTTCCTATTTCAGGATTAATTAGCATCATCAGAGAAGTTAAAGGTTATAATAAACATCATAAAAGCAAAATTATTCCAATTAAAGCGAGGTAATTGGTTTAGTGGAATAATTATCTCATTATATGATCTTTCATGATTTCTGTGAATGCGATTCTACAGATCTTAACACTTACTTCAAGAACTCCAGCATGAAGAAAACCATTTGACAGATCACCTGATGTCGCTCTGTGACTGGGTTTGTCACCTTCGCACAGATTTTGAATAATGACAGAAAATATTTGCTTGATCTATTAATGCTACGAAAGTTCCGAACAACTGATATCATTTCAAGTTAGAAATAAACCAGGGCGAATACATGTGACCTTACTTTTTATATATTTCTAATAAAAATCGAGTTTATTTTCGAAAATTTCAAAATAACTCTCAATGTACGATTTCTTTTTATTTAAGAGAGAGAAGAGTTCGGTCAGATTATCCGTTTCCATAGTAACCAGCCAAATTTCAAAGGTTGAAACTTATACAAATTCTTCTCAGATGGAAGAGATCGCGTGTCCGATATATATTGCTAAGTATATTATGCCTGATATATACGACTGTTGTTCGACCGGTAGTTAGAAGCTACATGCACACGGAATCACGGCTGTTATCTTGATCATCCCATATTAGGCAAGGCCGAAGAGGCTTTATCACCTTTAGGTTGAATATATAGAATTGTATATAATATCAACGTAATATAAATGAATACAACGATATGAATATAAACCAGCTGCGCTAGACTGTATACTCCGGAGGCGTCTTTCCACGAAATCGTTGTGCTTACGTTGGCACTTGATAGAATGAGATTGATTTCTTCCTACACACCAGATTGGGGAAGAATGCTGGTAATATTGGTAAAATACATTACTACCAGGTTATAGTCACCTGGTTATATACTAGTCTATTTTGTCTAAAGGGCGATGTTATGTCCATGTTTTGGTATAATCGGACAAAATCTGCCTGATTCCTGGTCTGAAGCTTCTTGTGTTCATACCCGAATGAACTAAGATTATACTATAATGCACCTTTTCTGTTATAAAGACCATGATTTGTGTAGGGACGTTTACCTATATATTTACGTGCACAACCTGTGAAGATTTGATAACATTTCTGAAACTTCAGTCGCTTTTCTTATTCAGTTTCGTGTCGATATTTTGGCTAACGAACAAGTAGCAAAACCCAAGTGATTATAATATGGTCCACTATTCGTATTGCACAATACGGGGCGTTGTTCAGCTTTATCAGTTAAGAAGGCCCTGTTTAGCGCAGAACCACATCCGACTAAAATTGAACCGACCCCATAACAAGAGAATTTGCGGTATGTGTACAACTTGGTGCAAATGACGAATTGTGGTATAACGGGCTTTCATTATGCTCTACTTTGGGTTTCACATTCCCGTGATTTGTCACTGTTATCAAGATACGGGCCCAACATGACACTTTTTGATTGGTTATAAGTAACGTTATTAGAACGGGATTGTGGTAGAAAACCGTTAAGATTACAATATTACAATGGAGACGACAAATATCAGAAAAGAGACAATACTTATAATCATAATTTTTTTTTAATAAGATCAGGTGCTACTACGGGAATTGAGGAAATCAGAAATCTTGGGTATTCAGGATATAGCATAGATATGCAAACATATCGCTTCTACTTAAAGGTACAACTATTCACCAAAGTGATGACTTTATTACTTTTACTAATGTATGTCAGGTATGCGCCCAAATTCCACTTTTTACTTTAATTACCATATTGTGATG